TTTTCAACAAACTCTCCCAAGGGAAAATTAGTGATATTGGTAGTAACTTACCTAGACCTAGTTCTTTCATTTCTTTTTTCTTTTTTTTTGGGGGGGGAGGAGATTGTATATTTGGGGACCCCATTCCTATAACAGAACCTACCCCTAACCCCAAGGGTGTATGAAAAATAATATTGAAATCAGGGGATTTGGGACTGAAGGGCTATGGGAGACCTACATTTTAACTTTTGAATTCACCTTGGTACATGGCTATGGCATCATGCTCAACAACTGAACCTAGGGCTGATGTTGTGAAAAGAGGGCACGTTTTTGAGTTTTGAGGGAAATTATGAGGGGAAACTGTGAGTGTTTTAACACAAGACACATCGTGGATTCAAATCTGCACGGCTGGTTTATCACAATATCAGTAAGAAGTCACATTTTCTAACAACTTACAAAATAAATCCAATTTCCTGTTCCGTCGCCATCTTGATTTTAGCACCCCCATCCGCCTAAGTGAAAGCTAGAGGGGAACAAATTGTCTGCAACAATAAACGAGCATCCATTTGCCAAACGTTGTTGTCACAAATTTGTTCCCCTCTGTTTAATCCTCTGAACATGTGCACAAGAAACAGGCTTAGGCCTATTTAAAATTTCCAAAAAATAGGGTAAGCACAACAAAAAGAGCATCGCCAAATGATTTTTTTGGGGGGCTGACCAGTTTTACAAGATTGAAATGACACAACAGTTGGGGTCCTCAAATATACAAGGGTCTCACTTTGTTTGAGGTGATGGTTTTGTTTTCTTTTGGAAAGAGTTCCATATATACAGTACTTCGAGAACTCTAAGTCACTAACTCCGTGATACTCCTTGTGACCTAGAGGAGACAAGATTTACATGGCATTGTAACGCTATGGGGTTTTGGAATCGAAATTTTGTGGTGAAATGGTTCACAGCCGTAAGAAAGCTATTAAATCAAATTTTCCCCTGTCAGCATAGGCCTACCTGTTTTTTTTAAAAAGGGGATAACAACAGTTTCAGAGCATGAGATGGAGTATTTTGGAGAAAAAATGAGATTTTTGCTCACCAAGTTCTTGCTTCCACCTGTTGACTGTCGCTCTGTTCATGCTGTTCGTGTTTATCAGACTGCGCATGCATTGATTGAGCTCACCACCGTGCTTGCTAAGTATCAACCATTTCACCACAAAATTTCAATTCCAAAACCCCATAGCATTACCAAATCATGTAAACCTTGTCTCCTCTAGGTCACACGGAGTATCACAGAGTTTGTGACTTAGAATTCTTGAAGTTACATATACGGATGCCACTCGACAACCCATGCACAAACCCTAGGCTATGACATGAGACTGGTTTGAAAAATTGTGTTTTCTCAGTAAATGGCTTCATATTTTCCCACCTAAATTGAACTTTTCTTGACATGTTTTTGCTTTCTGATGGCTAATACATAACTGAAGGGAATATTTATTGGCGTCCGTATATGGAACTCCACTCTTCCCTTTGTAGACTTTTTTACGCGCTCGTCCGAAAACTGGGCCTACAACAACGTTTCGATTTTCTCGCGTTTTCTAGTTTTATTAGATATCACACAAGCTTTTCTCGAATACTGTCCCCACCTGCCTATTTTTCCCAGATCGTAGAGGGAGGAATCGATGTCAACACCTCAATCGCTTCCCGATTATGAGAATTTTCCTTGTTGCACAGATACCGTAAACAATGTTCGTATGCCCCGCTGGTACATCGTAAGATGTAGACTAGTATCCAACTCGTAACGTAGATTTATTGCTGTGTAAGGTTTGGAACCTGTCTACATTACTGAGTTTTAGCTGAACAACTGAGGAGAGGGCGGGCTGTACCATAACCGGTGCTTGAAGAAAATAATAGAATCAAAGCGCCTTTCAAGCAAACTTGCAAACACCCCCAACAACGCTTGCGTGTTTATTACTCTCCCGACGGTGCTTGCGCGGAAGTTGAAGGACAGTTCATCCCAATCATTAGATACTATGACTTCTTAGAATACAGGAGCTCGCATTTTTACCCAAACTCGAAGCAGAAGTGTAGAGAATAAATCAGGCCCATCGAACCATTTCTTCGAAGGTTCACTACCAAGATTCATCGAAGTGTAAAGGAATTTTTATCTTTTTGATCTAAACAACGGCTGTAGTCGTGTTAATATGAAAGTAAATTTGATCTTGTTTCCTTGGGTTTTAATTTACAATGCCCTTTAGTATTAATATTATTTCCAAACAAAAATCCCCTTTGATAAGAATCAGGATGCATGATATGTCAAAGAGGAAAATTTGTAGAGAAGCATGATAAAGTTTCTTTCTTTGATTGAAACTTTTTTGTAGTTTTAGTATTCTACTGAACCCGTAAGTATCCCGGGCTAATATCCCAAATGTTAAATACGATACAATTAAAGTATTGTAAAGTTTAAATGATACATCCTGAGGGAAAGGGGCTTTAATTTACACATAACTCCTATATTTTTTAATAATCGTGCAGATATTATGAATTTGTTTTTTCCATAAGAGATTCTGTTCAATATACAGACCTAAGAATTTCACACAGTCAGTTTTTTCAATATGTGCGTCATCAGTAAGGATTTCAGGTAGTTTATGGTGTTGCTTTTTACTAAACAGCATATAGTTAGTTTTCGTAATATTATGAGACAACTCGTTTGCTTTGAGCCAGTTTGAAACTTTGATAAGCTCAAGATTAACTTTTTCATAATAGGTTACTGTCATTAGCGAATAAAGTAAAAGCAAACAAGTCAGAATATTTAACAAAGTCATTGATATAGATTGAAAATAAAAGGGGCCCCAGAATGGATCCTTGCGGAACTCCATGAGAAAATGTACAGAGGACTGAGTACCATTAACAGATACGAATTGTTGAAAGGTAACTCCTGAACCACTCCAAGGCGGTTCCTCATGCGCAACACTAAGCAAGTTGGTTTAGAAGTATATCATGGTTGACTGTATCAAAGGCCTTGGCAAGAAATTGCCGGGAAAACCTACAGCAGTTGCTAAAATACTTTTCAGGGAACGATGTTTGATGACGGCATCACCGGGAAAGATATTCCACCCTTGAAACTGTGAACAAGGTTATATACATCTGCGGAGTGACCATCAACCCCCTCCCCCACTTATAGAATCATAGATAGATTTTCTTTACTAGTTTTAAGTCGGTGTGGCTCGCAAAAAAATTCGTAATTAACAGTTCTTCGCTGAGATTGAGCTGTGCATTGGGGATGATATAGCTAGACTTCCTACCCTCAGATTTAGTTCAGAATACATCCAGGAGTATTAAGTGGATTCCGCTTCTGGAGAAATCGTTTCATTTCCCATAGAAATTCGGTACCAGTATAAAATTCTCGGGAGGGCTGCAAATCGCCGTCTATTCAACGATTTAGCTGAAACACTATACGATAGGACAACACGATTAAGTCTAAATTTAGTTCTCTGGGGGAGTGAGTCATCATGAAAATGAGTCCTAGAAAATTGAGACTGTTTATCAAACCGAAAGATCCTTACAAAATGATGGGGAAATGCACCAGTCTGGAACATTGCCAGACAGACTGTGAAGCAATGGTGTAGGATTGGAGGAAATTGTAGTCACCAGTGGTGTGGGAATTTTTGTAAAAAAATAATAACATTTTGGCAATACGGATCTTCCATATTCTTAAAATGCAATACATTGTCTTCCCTCGAGTTCGTGCTCGCATATTCAGTTAAAGTTGGCATGAGCTGAATTTCAGTATGAAACGGTGATAATGATGTTTTTAAGTACCAGTATCAAGTGTGTCGAAGGTTGGTGCATTTATCGACAGTTGTTTTGTTTTTTGTTCCGTGCTTCCCTTTTTTGAACTCCAAAATAAGTATGACTTATTCACGACGAGCTTTTAGTTTCCATGGCACGATGGAATTCATAAAATTATCGCATAATTCAAATTCATAAATACCTCTGACAGTCTCCGTATTCAACAACGTGCAACTTGATTTTGTATTATGCCCGCTGAGAAGTGACAATACCCGCTGCGTAAAACACGCGCTGGTACCGGGATACGAGACAGTTTACTCCATGATTGATCATGAGTCTGCGTGCGACGCATGCGCAACACGCAGAACGCGCCATGCGCGCGCCAAGTCGATATACAAGGAGACTCTATTGGACAACATGCAAAAGGAATACACCATAAAATGAACGGGGGTGTTCGGGAAAATGAAAGTAAACTTTTAGTACAAAATCGTTGGAAATCCATCATACATTGACATTTTTTTACTCTCTAACTAAAAGGGTATTTATGAATGGGGAATAAATATGTGCTTGGCCGGTCTTTAAACTGACGTTTAAGACCGGCTCGAGCATTAGTCGCGCCCATTCTCCTGAGCGGTCTTAAACGCACGTTTAAGACCAGCCAAGCACATTAATGATTGATCCATGCTGTTGCTCAGGCTCCCATTAATCGTCTTATGACATGATTGCATTTTAATGGAGGCCTGCCGCGCTAATGTGAGCATAGCGTGTGAACGCACATGAAGCCCAAACTGGACTGCATTAATGTGACAGCAGACTTCTCATCACTCAGCAGAAAAAAAAAGGCTGAACAAAATTAGTGCGAAGAAATGAAGGCTGTTCGACAAAAGTGGAGAAACATCACCGAGAGAGGTTTTCTTGACTTCCTACATGTAGATCATTACTGTTGCTTTAGAGAGATGTTATAACGCAATTCGATAACTTGCTCCGTCTATTGTATCTATAAACTCAAAACCTGCTGGATATTTCGGGAGCCGGCAAAAATGGATCTGTATATCTGTTGCAAATAAACAATCTGATGTACACGTTTTCTCAACAAACCTTCGAAATAATACCCTAGTGCGTCCATTCAAGGTTCACTGTTACACGTAAACTTTATTTCTTGTTTCATCGCCATTCAATTGCTTTTTTGTCATTTTTTCATTAGGGCACTTTTGACACAAGCTTCGGCTTTTTGAATGTGCCACTCCTCTCTTTCGCTTAACGTGACTTCTCCTTCGTTATCTTAAGTAGATTTTGTGTGTATTCAGAGTACGAAATAAATGTGCACGAATGAACGTAGATGCGCTTCCTTGATTCCTTCCAGCGGCAGTATGTACGAAGCTTTGCGTATTTCATAGTACATGTACCGTTGTTTTACTTAATTTTTTATTCTGCCAAATTTTCTTGACATATTCGTAAACCGTGTGTTTCCTTTGACATGACATCTACAGCTGTCATGATTACAGTTATCTGAATGTCCACATTTCTGGGAAAATTGACATCGTATCTCGTCAACAGAAGACGGAAATGCCCAACGGTTGAGAAAAATTAACGCCCCCAACCCAATTTAGTTGGCGGTGTCTATAGTTGTCTATTCCGCCATCATCTAGATCAGTCATCTGGGACACGCCCCCTTTTCCCATTGCTCCCCCTCTAACTCGGGGCTTGGGTGCCCGCCTAGGCTATTTATGTCAGAGCTTGCAACCCCTCCTGGCGTGTCTGGTGTTTCCCAGCCGATGTCAAGTTGGACTTTGTTCCACTTCTGTCGATCAAAATCGATGCCGCAGCATGACATCGCCGGCTTCTGTCTTTCCCCTCCGCTTATTAATTTCCCCCCTCCAGCGCCCGCAGTGTGTTGTGATATGCCGGTGGCCATCGAGGTTGAACCCCGGCGCATTGCCTAAACAATTCATGACTATGGTGGAGAAACCGTGGACCTGTTTGATGGAGGCTATAAAAAAAAATACGTCAATTGTTGACATTTTCTCATTCGCCGAGGGTGTGCCAAGGTTTAAATCAACAACTCAGATGTTTATCAGGTAGGCCTACTTTCTTCCAATGTCGTATACTTAATACCCCTAGCTTAAGGTATTGAGCAATGTTCGTCTTGATTCGACTGCGGAAGGAAAAGGCAGAGGGGGACATGTGGCTATCCAACAAATGCAGGGGACCAAGTCTGAACTTGTATTTGCAAGTATTGTTTGCCCTGTTAGATACATTGTCAAAAGAATGTGGAAGAGCACTGTAGTATTGAATGACGTTTTCTGTGAACATCGACGCACTTTTGCTATCGAGTGATTGATCAGTGGAAAATTTCACTATTAAAATTTACGTCGTATCAGATCAGTCTAACAGTTAAAATGTGTGCTAACAAAAACAAACTCGATAACTCATGTCAGTTGGTTCTAATCCATCTGAGAAGTTTCCCACTGTACAAAACTGAAGTATCAGGCGAAAAAACCTCTCTACCCTTCTCTTTAGTATTAACCTGTCGTTAAATGTCGTTGAGCAAAAATACGTGTATATTATTTTGTGTGCGTCATAAATTGACACAAGTGAGCAAACAATGGCATTGGCACGGGATCCGGAACTGTAAAAGACGTCATAAACGCGGTTTGTATTGCATTTGAAGTATTTTCCGTTGGGACGTGCATGTATAACACAACAACATCTCTGACCGTCGCTTAACATAAAGTTGCCTGGTCCATAAAAAAAGGTCATTCAAGGTCAATCTTTACATGGTATCGGAGTTAGTTGACTGAGCAAATAAGATTTAAGAACAAAAGAATAACAGAATGACGGACCTTTTGTAGTTCGTGAACTACATCATATCTTTTGGCCCTTGATCACACTGCATTGTGGAGTTACCGGTAATACTCAATGTATATTAATTAAGCATGTATTTAAAGGATACCCCTTTTCGGGAAATAATTCATTCTATCACTTTTAAAGAAAAAATAAATTTCAAAAATAGCGATCACTGCATAAAAATAGACTTTTTATCTTCTTTAGAGGAGGAAAGCGAACGAACTTTAAATTAACAGTCGGATAATTTGTTGACGGTGTTGCGAGGTATAGTTCGATTTTTCTGTACATGCAACAACATGGCTGTTAACAATCTTCCATTCCCTTAATAACTATGAGTAAACTTCATTTAGGATACTGTACTCGGTCGGAAGGATATTGACAATATTGGAAAAGACGGGGGAAAACCGACGTTCTTTCTCGCAGTCCGACAGCGAAAGAGACCAATCAGGCCGGGACACGGTTGTAGCCTGGCCAAAGGAGTATTTTTTGCTGCTACGTTGGCGATGGCGCGCGCGTTACATTGGCCGACAAATCAATTTGCACGCGTCAAAACACATATCCCCCGCCCGCGGAAAAGATGCGTTCGATATGCTGAGGAGCGACGATTCAGCCACCTGCCCAGCCATTCAGGGGAGGAAATTCACTTTGACACTTAACCGACGTAAACGGCCCGGAGGGAACCTTGCGAGACACGGACCTGTCCACCCTACCGAGAGAACGGGAAGATACTGCTAGTGTCTTGTCTCCAGGAGTCCGGGAAGGTGTTCTCCTGCCCTTCTGGCCAAATGGAGACACAAAATGGCGTCACTTCAGTCACTCGTAAATACAGCAATTAAAGTTCCCCTGCCCTCTTTTCATTTTCTTTCACGTCTGCTCAAGTCATCTTTCACAGTCCCACCACCCGCCAGACCCTGCGGTCGCCGCAAATTGAAATGGCGAGGGGAATTAACTCTGCCATGCCCTTGGCTCTGACTTTCTTCAGTCCCCGTGGTTTTTTTTGGGGGGGGGGGTTATCAGCTTCAGTTGATGGGCTTTTGTGTACACAGAAAAGGAAATCAGCATAAACATCTCAGACTGCGTGCCTGACCTTATCTGGCAGCTGCCTCGAAAGTTTGGCCGGGGATGAAGAACTCTGCAGGAACAAAAGTTCTTGCGGTCAACGACAGGACTCGACTATATCTGGCATGGGATTCCTCGGGTGTTTTAGAATCTCCCTGATGGGACTGACAATAACACCTTTCTGAACGACTAATGCAAGCCGTCGGCAACAGTAATACAACTCCACTCGTGGGCGAAATTTACCCCCGAGTAATTAAGTGGTCTGTGAGTAATTGCATGTAGAAATAAAGCTTGAAGTTGTTAATTATTTGAGACATAGAACTAAAGATTCGCACTTCGTCAATTATCATCCAACCTGACTGATGAAAAGCAGAGCCATACGAACAAATCAGCACAGTACATTGGGCATCATCTAAACATAGAGCAAAAACATTACCTTCAATTATTTACAGCCGAGAAAGACGAATCCCAGAAATTCAACCCCACCATGCTCTGTTTATCTATTTAATTTATTTCGATAACAACCCACTGTGGCAAACCGCCACTTACAAGTGTCACAAACATTACTTTAAAAATCTACAAACGTATTCTGTAGTATATCCAAAAATTTAAAAAAATCCAAAAAGATTTTTTAAAATCACACTAGATAGACAACTTCAAACTTCAGAAAAAGGAAGAGCTGAAAATCCAAGTAATATACATTAACAGGCAAAAACGAGTGAACAGCTAAAACAGAATTCACGTCCTCAAAACACACAGAACAAAACCACGACACAGACAACCCGATATACTGATTAAGAAAAGGCAACACGGACCGCTCAAAACCCCACTATTCACAGAAAAACAACCCCAACACTGAAAACCAACAACTGAACACGCAAACGAACAGACGTTATGCATTGTAATTCTTATTCTTTCTCCTAAATTTGGCCCATCCACGACAAACTTAACAGTCCGCAAATTGAGAAGGGCGTGGTCTTTGGAAAATAACTGTTAAAAGCTCCTTTGTCCTCGATGTTGACATGAATCCAGACGGCGATGCGTCAAATCTCTTGCGCTTTCTGAATGAGTTGGTTTCAGGATCGCTTCCCGTTCAGTTTTGCAGCATTAGCAAAATGTTGCTGCTCATCTCAATCTTGAGGTTTACGGTGTCTGACTCATCTGCAACCCAGATATTGCCAATTTGAAAACAGCCGCATGCAGAAGACTCGGTTTTCAGAACATCATTCATTCAGCCTACGGCACCTCAGAGGTCGTAGGTTTAACTCCAGTTTTGTCAAGTTCCTATTCTTTGTTACCAGTTTTCGTCCGTAACTTGGTTCCTCGCTATGGACGAACAACCTTGACATGGGCACATTTCGTGAGCATGCCAAGTCTGGCCGACGTGAAACTTCCGTTATGTTTCTGTCTTCGGAAGAAATTGGCAGACCATCAAATTTAAAAAACCAACATGCGTAAAAACACACAAAACAAAACAGATATTCCAGTTTATTTTTCACTGTTTCTGCAATTAATACGTGTAACATAATTCTGTGTTATGCTGTTTCGTGACAGTCGAACAAACCTTATTCTCAAGGAATCATCTTTGATCATGTTCCCTGAATCTATCTTATACAGTGTAATCTGTCAAACAGGGGGTGGTGCCAGACTTCATTCGGTTCCATTCCTCGTTTTCATTTTTTTATTTCACTAAAAACACTTTAAATACATGAATCGCAAATTTTAAATTGTTCATTATTGCAACTGAATTCAATCTCTAATGAAATTATATTTCATTGCTTTCATTTTTTATTCTTTGTCAAACATTCAATCTCGCTTTCATGGCCGACTTGTGATTGGAAAACATCAGATAGTTTTTGCAGTACAGGCTCAATTCACACTTTCCAACTTCGGGCTCCCCCGAGTATGAAGTAATTAGCTGTCTGAAGTACGTCATTATTAGTTGTTTAAAGCACTGTATAGAAAGCATAACAACTCCGGTGTTCTTAAGTAGTTGTTGACCTTAAGTGGCTCGTGGCTAAAATTCATCTCTATGGTAACGCCATGAACGCGTGAATGGTATCCCCTGAACTGCTGAACCGTGTGTCTCGCTTGGCCTCACAGTTATTGTGCTGGTCTTAATTAATAAGGCAGTCTGTATCGATTGGTTGTTGAGTAGGTTATTATGTTCACTGTAAACAAGTTATCACTATGAAGTGAGGCGCTATAGCCAAATATCGTATTATTTTTGTTTGAGGAGCAAAACACGTGGTATTGTCTGTTTGCACAATTGGGTGTTTGGTGTCCAGTCGTGTGTTTAGGGATTGGGAAAATATAGCAGGGTTTGTTCTAATAAACGAAAACGGATATATGTTTGGAGTGTTTATTACCAAGTGTTTAGAACTTCAAATTAACATGCGTCTCTTCTCTCAGCTAAGTACATTAAAATTTGGCGACATTTCCTACATGAAATGAAGGAATTTAACATTATTGCCATGGAAAACATGGAAAAGTGTATTTAATGTGATACCAAAAATTTACATCCTAACTTTATTTTCATGGGTTAAATATATGTTATTGATATTTTTTATTAAAATGAAATTAGTTACGTGTTATACAGCTGTGAATGTGTATTCGCCCATATTGACAAACTGTGGCAGCTAAGTATGATCCTACAACATCCTGTGTCAAAACAGGTAGCCTATTAATAACAGAAATTGTATGCAAACAGAAAACGTGCGCGGCTCGGAAAGAATGGGTTGATGAATTCAAATTCTGTACTGTGATTCCACGTCCCTCACTATATAAGCAGTGTACATTTTACATAAGCACGTTTGCGTAGGCCTATACTCACGTGCGCTTTTAAAATAACTGCACAAAATGGCAATTTAACCAACCAGTTGTTAACAGAGCCGCACATATATGTATCCCGTGTCCGCACCGGTTCAAATGGTCCCTATAATATCAAAATATTTACTCACTTGTGCCATGAACAGCGAGGCAGTTTCAATATTGGTACAACCTTATTTTTCTAATAGATCGTGATACACACACCTATTGGTTGACGAACATTAGTTTTTATTCACAGACCATAATAAATATAACGAACGTTTCCAATTAATCCATTTCGTTTGCTTTTATCCACACATGGCAGGGACACCGTAGATCGTTCTGCGGCTTCTAGCCAGCTCAGCCAAATCGAAGGAGAGATGCATTATTTCTGTTGCATCATATAGTCAGCGAACTGTAAGCATCGACCTCCAAGAATTAAACTCCAAGTCAAAGCTCAGCGGTAATCTTCGCGAGCGGCAGTGAGCACGACGCCACGGGAAGATCTGTATGCTGTAAAATTCGTTTGATGCGATGACTATCCACGGTAGATAACCCCATAACCAAAGTTGTGGTGTGTGGGTGGCGCGGGCAAAACCAAGGCAGGGGAAATTAATACCAAGCCGCAAATACCATCCAGCGTTCACGTGATGTCGTCGACTTGGTAAATGCAATTAAAATAACCGCACGAGCCCAGCATATTGGCAAGTATACAGAGGTACCTTTATATTATAAGGAAAAGGAATAGAGAGAGCAGCCAAAGCCACTTTTCATGGTCACGCTCTCACTTTGCATTTCCCATGAAATTTTTTGCAAGGCAACATCTGCAGGATAAATGACAAGGGGAAGAAGGTGATGCTGCTTCACTGAGAGCTAAGCAGTAATTCGCCCCATCCAGAGAGGAAGGAGAGGCGCCGAAGAGACCTCGAAGCAGTACCGGTGTCTCAACGACCCTCCGCAAATTACCCGTCCTCATAGAATAAGAGAGAGCGCAATTTGTAACCCTCCAGCTGCTTCATTTCTCTTTTTTTGGAGGATTCGGAAGTCTTGGCGTTTAAATGACAAAAATCGACATATTGTTTTTGCGACAGAATTATACTTGAGGACCTGGAAGGACCGAGTGGGATTCGGACAGTTTCCGTTGTGCTTTTTGATTGAGCACTGCTGTGGGATCCAGCAGTTTTTTTTTTTCGAAACTTAATTTGGGACGTGACTTTCAATTTAGTTTCTGTCAGACGACGGCCATCGCACACCAGGAGGATCATTGAAAACTCCGACGATGGCAACGACAGTATCGACCCCTGGCACAATCTTGCCGACTGAGTTTTCATCTGTGGTGGTAGTCACGGAGGAAGACGCATACACGAACGGCACAGACTCATGGCTGGGCGAAACCATCGATATCAAGCAGAACGACTCCGTGCGCATTGGGTTCGCTCTGCAGGAAGAAGTCGTCTACACCCTGTACGCCATCGTCTTCGTGCTCACCGTTGTGGGCAACATCCTGGTTATAGTGACCCTGGTTCAAGACAGGCGCATGCGCACAGTGACCAACATGTTTCTGCTGAGTTTGTCCACCAGTGACCTGATATTTGGCATCTTCTGCATGCCGTTTACTGTTGTTGGGAACGTTCTGGGTCGGTTTGTCTTCGGCGAGGTCATTTGTAAAATGCTGCCCTACATCCAAGGTAAGATTCAACCCTTCCACACCCACACAACCACCCCCCACACACATGCTGGTGTTACCTACCTGTGTTGACAGTCCTTTGCTTTCGTGTAGTTCAGAAACCTCATTGAAATTACTCATTTGTCTTTGAATTGTAAACACTATTCCTTGATTATTCCTCTTCATTTTTCGACAAGTAACCCTAAGCCCAAAATGCCTCTAAACATGTTTTGCAGCAAGAGGGTAACCTTGTGTGGACCCGACTTGGTCCACACACGGTCCCCACAACCTGCGTTACGGTGGACCTCTTTTCTTCCTGGGTCCACTCCAGGTACGTGCATGTATTGTACACGCTTACGTATGTATCTTTGTTTGGGAAGTCCGTCCATCTCGTGTACTAAAGAAATTAGTCTGTGACGTGCAGGTTTCAGATCAATCCCGTCTGAACTTGAATCACTCTAGTGGGTTGAAATTTCGACTGATTGTCTCTTGAAGTGAATTTCCATGTGCACCTTGGGGATTCCTTCTTTTCAAGTTAAATCCAAATATCTATTTCGTGAACATCTTTCGGTGTACGTCAAAACACAGACGCCAGATGTTTTTGGGGGGATATTTCTTATTTTTCAGGAATCCCACAATTGACCATAAACGCGTTCACATTAAGCACGCCCTCAGAGGCAGAAAGGACGAAAAAGGCCTATTTCATTCACGTAGATTCCATAGGGGAACTCTGCGTCTTATTGGCACCAATACTGATCGTTTGTGAGAGCAGTGATAAAATATCAGTTCATGGGGTAATTGATGGAAAGTTCCGTTCCACAAGAATTCAGGTAAAATTCAGGCAAGCGACGTGTGCGGTCATTGAATTTTAGTCGACGTGTTATAACCACGCGTAGCCCTTAAGAAAAGGCTAATGTAAGATTCAATTTACCGCCGGCTGCTATGATCGCCTTTATCAATTCGAATTTCGCGACTTAGTGTTTTTTCTTCAAAGACATTTTCATTTAATATGCTTTAACATGTTGAGTCTTACCCTGACTCTTTCTCTTCTGGGCATTTTGACATAAGTTGGGTGTATCACTGCACATGTACTTATAGGCCTATAAAACAATAAATGTCGATGATTGTAGAAATTCCGTTCTATGGAATCGAATTGAAAAAAATGTGAAACATGTCTTTTTAGTTTTATGTTGCGCAGGGATAAATCCCGAATGAATTCCTTGCATGACCCATGGTAGAGCTGTTGAAAGAGAGAGGGTTACGACATGAGTGTCTCAATCGTTGGAACCTAAATGGCGGATTATGGATCAGCGCTGCCCACATGGATAATCTAGTGGAACAAAAGAGGGCGTGGGGCTTTTGTTTTGGTTTGGTTTTTTTGTTTTGTTTTTGTTTTTTTGGTCCTCACCATAAACTTAAATAACCTAGGTTATTTATGTCTGTGGTACTCACCGCACAGGCGCGCCATGCGCGTTTGACGCTGAGCACGCTGAGTATCCGGTTCGTAAAGTGACTTCGTAACAAAGGCGGACGCGCCACGATTCGCAGGATCCCATTGGACGATAATAGAAGTTGTGCGTTGACTTCAGGTTCCATGGTTCCACATAACGGCGATCAATGCATGTAACCCTATGTGCAGTGCGCGTGTGCAATGGGCGTGGTTTAAACTGAAGGACGTCACACTTACGAACCTGATACGTAACTATTTTACTCCGGCATGTATGGTCTTTGCGTACACGCAGAACGCGTGCAAGAACCCGCTTGTAACCACCAGTCTTTCTTTTCTCCGATTGGGGGTGCACTTCAGCTCGGGGCGGATTAGCACACAAGAGCTACATGCTGAAATGCACACAATCATAATGAACAGCCAAAAGCTGCATGACATGGTAAACTGAATATAATGAAATGGCCAGTTTGGTTCCGAAGTCTGAAGTTGGCGCCACTTTCTCTATATACTTCTCTGACCCATAAGGGTGAAAAGCGCCGCCCCATTTCGCCATCAAATTTAAAGGGTGGCCATGTAATGAATGGATGGAACTGCGAACAGTCCATTTAAGGATGGAATGATAAGTCTGCTTTTACCTTGTAGCCTTGAGGCTGCTTTAAGCATCGCAGAACATCAAGCGACTGGCCCAAGTAATGCACTTTCAGCTTTCAGCTCGTTTGGGATCACATAGATGAAAATAATTTAGGCCTACTCCATCTCCCACCCGTCCAAAATTAACTTGGAAATTTCATAACTTTTCATAAGTTTGCTGTTTCTTGTCAACTTAACACTTCTCCGAATTTTGCAATCGTTTATAGGGACCTCGGTAACGGTATCAGTTTGGACCATGGTTGTCATATCACTCGAGCGGTATCACGCTATCTGTCACCCTTTGTCGTCCCGCATCTGGCAAACGAAAGCCCATGCTTACAAGGTGAGTTCTTTGGCCTTTTTGCAAACCCGGTATAGGGGCTGGTATACCGCTTTGGTGCAGAGCCGTGAATATAGATGGGTCAGCTTCGAATTAGAAGGTATTTCGGATCAAAAATTAGCCTCAAAACTGCACCCCTCTGGGTGTACTGGTTTGTATTTATACAGCAAACAACCATCTGTCTGACTTTAATCCGTCTTTCGCAATTTTCCAAGCGATAAGTGCAACTGCATGCACGACAGGTCATCCGTATTACATTGGCAACAAAATGGCGTCTTGCTTGGCATCACCGTGACGTCACAACTCTATAGGCCTATGGCTCTGCCTTTTCGTGGCGATAGGAGCGCAGGTTATTCGTTTACACAGGTACCATCATCCGTATGGTCTTACCAGTTGGTGGCTTCCAATATACATATGTCTCAAACAACCCCCTAAAAATGCGTTGTTCTTCGTTGTTAGACATTGTAATGGGAAAAAAGAACAAGCAAACAAGATCAGTGGTCGTTGAACGGCCATTCCGTCTCCATTTATTATCAATATGAAGAATATTCATAGTCTGAATAATTATCAAATAGCCTTTTCTTGTTCGATTGACTAATATTCCAGGCCATTGCGGGCGTGTGGTTGGTCGCCGTCTTGCTGAACCTACCAGCTCTGATATTCACCACGTTGAAGTCTATAAACAGCGAAACGGCATACAAGTGTTATGAGCATTGGCCAGAAGGGCCATACGTACAAATCTACAGGGTACAGTGTCTCCCATCCTCCTCCTTTCCCTAATTTCAGTGTATCAACAAATCATTTTGCACGTTTGAGGAAATTTGTTTACGATGAAGCTTTTTCAATGGCGGTACGACATCCACACAGAGTGGCCTTCTTTGGTGAACACATTGGCCTTTTCTTTATAATTATGGAGGAAAGTTACTGAAGAGTTTATTGGCCGACGTTGCCTTTATTTTCAAGGGTACGGATGGTTTCCGTTTCGCGATAGCCAACTTTTTGGTGGAAGACTTAGCGTCTGGCGCAATTTCATTGCTATTCATTCATTCAGGAATATTTATTTTCTGATCACTGAGTACTACCTATTTGTAACACTCTCGCTGCGTTTACCTTGCACACAGTTGCTTGGTATATTGGCTGTTACCCGTTACTGGTTTCCCTTTTCTTTTCTCCGATGTAGTTGTGCCTGTTCGTGATCCTAATGGTCGTGCCCCTCTTTCTTATGGCCATATCGTACGGCCTCATCATCGTGGAACTGCAGAAGGGCATGAAACTCGAAAAATCCACCGCTGATAATGGTGCGTGAAAGTCCATTGACATATCCGTCGAGGGTCAGATTGCTTCACTCTGACGGATTCTGTCGAAAATCTGTATCCGGTTCGAAAGTGACTTCGTCATACACGCGGACTCGCAGCTGATAGCAGTCTCCTACTGGATTAACAATAAAATTGCGCGTTAACTTCCGGTTCCATGGTTCCATGTAACTCTATGTAACTCTATGAGCGTGGTTTAAACTGAAGTGACGTCACACTTCCGAACCGGATACATTCTGTAAAGTTGGTTGCTAAGAGACCACCCTAGCCCCGGCCTTTGTGTGCAGTATCAGCAGAACTTGGTAGAGTCCATACTTGTTAACGGCGGCGTGAGGGTCCTGTTTAAAGCGGGAATTTCGGGAGCAGGTTTTTGAATCATGATAGTACTCATCTTGAAAACCAGAAACAAGTGCCCCAATCGATTACTTTGATTTTGACTGAAAGCCATTTAAAAATTCCTTTTTATCCTCGATCTGAACAAGTTCCACACTCATTGTGGGTGTGTTTTATAATGCGACCAACAATCAATACGTTTACTTAGTCTGATATTTATTTCATGTAAATGTACTTCCTGAAATTAGGGATCCATTTTTTTCATGTCCCTATCATATCTGACATAAATGATTCTGTAAGTTCAGAACACATTTTGTAATTCCAAGAGTGATGAATTAATGCGAATTACCTGTCAAAATAATAACTAGTAATAGTTTGAAATCGTTCCCGGTGATATTTCCATGTCAAATAACAAAGGTCGGATGTAACAGGGAGTCAAAAATGTCACACTTTTGGACCCCTAAGTGCTGGAATCACCCATATGTCTTTTGCACGTGGTGTTTAACTTTACAGAAAAAGGAGAAAACGGCATACGCATGAAGAATTTGGACGAGGCTTCCTGCAGCCTGAACGAGAGAGTCACCAAGAAAGCTACTACATCAACAGCTGTGAGGAGCACTTCAACAAGCGACGCTAAGAAGAGAGTTGTCAAGATGCTAATTATTATTGTCGCCCTCTTTTTTATCTGTTGGACACCTTCTTGGGTGACCAACATCTGGATCACCGTCAACCTCGAAAGCGCCAAAAAGCATTTCGGGCGGCCCGAGGTCACCATCTTCAAGCTGATGACGTACACGTCGGCCTGCGTCAACCCCGTCGTGTACTGCTTCATGAACAAACGGTTCCGCCAGGGTTTCCTAAACGCGTTCGCCTGCGTCCGGATCCGGGCCTCTGAGCGGGCCACGGCCAGCGAGAATGTTAGTCGTTTCCAGTCGGGGCGCCGCGCAAACCTAACACGGCCCAGCCCGACAAACTACACCAACGTTTCCTCGGATTCTTCGGTGTAGCTTTGCTCTCGGAGGAGACAAAAAAATTGGTCCCTTTAACATCGCTGCCAGCAGAGCTTCGTCGCAGCCCTGATAAAGTGTGATGCATCCTCACGGGGAAGTATGCACAGAATGATGTGGTCATCGCTGAATAGGTTTCTGCTGAATTTACAGTTCAGCTCCACACAGTAAAGGGGAGAGTAAAAGGAAACCTTGGGTAAACTGGAACCCCCTTTAATATTTAGAAATTGCCACACCGGCATCTAATATAAACATTATATATATCGAAAATTCAGTGCCAGTACTTTGAAGTCTTGCCTCGGCCTCATTGAGGCTGGTGTCAAGGGTCTTTAGAAAATTCCAGAAGAGAATAAGGCTGTGCTAAAGTTACTATTATCGACTTGTTTTTACGGTGGGTAGAGTTCAAACGACATACACACTGTATTGTATTTGGTTGTATATCTGAGGCTTCTGTGGTAAATCAAACATGACATGGAGGGTCAAACAGACCCCCGTATGGCTGCAGAAAGTGTGTATAAGAAAGACTTTCTAGTGCAGTCTTGAAAAAAGTCTTCTTTTTCCCCATTATTTTGAACAGTTTTGAGAGATCTTGTCTCTACATCTTCTGATTTCTGTCGCAAAAGGAATAAACCACCCAAAAAATAATAAACTAGTACAATTAGCAAACAAAGTAGGGAAATATTTGGACTTTGTTACACTTTTAAATTTGACATTTTAGGTTTTGGGAATGTTTGGTTGAAATCCTACTTACAGTTGTATTATGGATAATCTAATTTGAATTTTGGAACAAAATGTGTGCGATGGCAACAGTTGGTACAGCTTATTCCCACAAAAATGTTGAGTACTATGGGGCCGTTTTACGCTACGCAGAGAATCCTTATTACTTTATTATTAAAAAAAACCAGACCGGTGATGTGAGATTTTAGATTCTTTGTTACCATGACAATGTTTCCTGAACATTTGCGGTATTGACCCACAATACAGCAAATATACAGTTCCAGTTCCGCATTCTCCCTTTTCAGTCTCTGTGATGGACACTGTTTATTTTACATTTACACAAACTTGCTTTTTAAGTTAGGGTACCGTTTCAGCCCACCCTACCCACTCGCAATGCGCAGGACTTCTCTTGTATGGCATATTACAGAGACGACTTGAAACTTTGAGCATTATGGCCATATCAAATAGACTTTCTTAGCTACGGGTGCATCAGCATGTTCCCATGTATCTGAACCGACAAAGGCCTAACCAAACCTAGCTCTCCACTTTTTTTAAACGTCAGTGTCGCATTCTTGCACATTTTGGCTGGCCGTCAGTTAAAAAAACAAGGAAACAAAGACTTGTGAATGCTGCAAGTGACAGGCATGCAGCGTAGATTTTGCGAAATAGAGTGGGTACTGCCTTCGTGCAAAGCAGAGAGGCGTGAACAGAGCTGGAGAGAGTGGAGACAGGAGTAGGATGTCAAATGGTGTGTAGGTTCATGGGTGTAAACCCTGAGCTAGGGCATTGCCAGGGGTGTATATTCCTCCAATTTTTGACTAGGGAGGTGTGCCGTTGTTTTCATCACCTCCCTCCTATAAACCTTGCTTGTTTCGTATAGCTATAAGATAGAGTGGACATTACCTTATTTCTCCTGTGGTTCTGAAAACTAGGGGGAAACGTTGCTTTTTCTCCCATTCATTCGAGCGAGATTTTGGATTATTTCCTGAACTGTTTCTCTTCATTTTTCCACTGATAAATCCTGACCCCAAAATGCCCCTGAAGCTGATTTTTGAGGGAAGGGAAGACACTGTGTGGACGTGTGCGGGTCCAGACACTTTCAAAACTCTACTATATATGTGGACCTCTTTCATTGAAGGTTGCAATTATTTTTTAAGTAAAGAGAAGATTTTTCTAGCAGGAAATCCCTGTGCAGAATGTGAATAATAGGAGCATGTGTGTGCTGTGGAAAACGTTAATTGGGGTCAGCACCTCAGGATGTGCAAGAGGAGGGCGAAAGCTGAGGGAAACGGTGGAATAGTGCGAGAAAAAAAACGAGAGAGCAGGAGCCGTTGTGAGTGAAAGCATTATACTTCAGACAGACGGGGGAGAGACACTGGTTAAAGTGTGCAGGCCTAACTTAAATTGAGAATGCAGAGAGTATTCATGAAAGGGGAGAGAAGGCTGTGTGTAAGGGCATGGCAAGAGAACAGGCAAAATGAAGAGAAATTTGCAACACTTACGTATGCAATAGAGCGAACCCAACGGTCAACGCCTATTAAAGCGGATGCCTAAAGTTGGAGTGACGCACACTCGCCCGCGTACGCCGTCGATTGCACATTCTGGTCGAATTTGGGGTGCATCAGATCACTTTGTGGTTATCCGAAACAAAACTGCCCAATTAAACTCAAGGAGTCAAAGAACTTTAATCATATTAACAGGGAGTGACGTAAAATGCAAATGTCCTTACGCGCTTTAACTGAAAAAAAAATTTGAGCGACGTAATAACTTTGTCGTGTGAAGTTGTGTATCGCCTGTCTGGATACTGCCTCTATGGATACCAACTAACGAAATCACTTTTTGCAATGGTAAAAAAGAAATCGTTGGTCAGATTGTTTAATTTTGTAGTGCCAGTGAGTTCAAAAAAAGTTAGTTTAAAGATCTGTATAGGAACCATTGCGAGCTGTGAAAACTAACAGCAAATTGGTTCCTACAGTTCGAATATGTCTTGAGACATGCGGGATGTACAGATAATTCTGAATTTTAGATATGTCTTTGGAGTGTCTTTAAAGGATTTGAATTGGAACTGAGATCGATACAGTCATAAATGAAATTAGATTTAAGCTTGAACTGTTAATCTACAAGTGTTGGTTTATGTAATCCTACTTGTACAGCAAAATCTCTCATAAACAGAAATCCTAAGTACAAGTCTGCTGATCATAAGGACGCCTTAGGTTGGAAGAAAATCTCAGATCAAGTAGCCACTGTACATATATTTAAAATGTGTAAGAGTATTTTAATAATCACAAACTATTTAAATCTATATGTATACATGGCGGAGAATTCACGTCAGAATATTTATTGATTCCTAGTCTTAGAGTGTTAATTATCATCTACTATTTGAGGATAAGGTTGTAAAAACTGTTTGGCTGTCGATATATTTTTTTAAACAGAGTTTGTCTGGAAAACAGATAATAATGAAAATCAAGTGGAATTCTAGATGTAATCCCACAGAAGTTTGGTCATATACAGAGAGTCACGATGGTACTTGTATATGTAAAGCACGTGTCATCTGAATAACTTGTATTTTGAGCACTTGTTTTTTCGTAACTAGCTGTAACACAAGAGTAAAGGGTATAAAGCGCCACTTTATGCATGCACGAAAATACTGTCGCCACCTCAAGGACGACTTGGATAAGTTTGAGCACCAATTACTTCGACTACTGAGTTACCCGGACGATGGATGGTTTGGACCACCTGGTCAATCATTTTAGAACCAGGCTCTGGGGAATGGTCGCACCACTCGTTGTCCGCAGCCGATTTAATTTGTCAGTACGGAAGGAACTATTTACATGAAAATAATTGCATGAGATGTCATTGACCACGAACGCTGCAAGAGCTGAAGCCAACGGCAAAAAGTGTGAGACGATGAGACCTTTCAAAAATAATGAGACAAGGGTCGCTAGGGTATGACTGTACTGTTTCAGTGCATATGTAAACAGTAATTATTCGGTCGGGTCGAAATACAGTTCACACTTACCTCACGATTTTAGAACTCAACCCAAACCAGCACCTTCAAAAAGTCTTGTTTGTATACCGTACAAAAGTGGTCAAACAGTGTTGGGAATTTGTTTTTTTGCCCAACCTTGGTTAAAGTTACCACGTTGTTGGTTAATTTCCATCACTGTTGGTCAAACATTGACCAACGATTGGGAAGAATTTGCCCAAGGTTGGGAAGTCGATATTTACACCAACATTGGGCAAAGTATCGACCCAAATTTGACCAACCTTTTTACAGTGTAGGATCCTCCAGTGCACTCCTTTAGAATAGAGAACATGAGCGTAGTGATTAGATTAACGTTTGAAGTAAATTGTTGTTTATCTGAAGAAGGAAAACTGTAAAGCGGCTTATTTGAAATAGGGGAAGGGGCATATTTAATGGTTTGAGGCAGAAAAGAAAATAAGCACTAACTTTTTGCTAAACTGGGCTTCATTCATTTTTCGGTATTTTCTTTTCATTTCTGTAAGCAATTGTTTTTCATTATTTACAATATAATGTTCAAGGTCAGTTGTTTTATTGTATCAGTTGTAATAGGTTCAATACATATATTTCACTCTGTTGACAATCACAGTTTCAGAATTTAAATAACTTTCTGCGCCTTACACAAACAATGGCCTCCAGAGATCCTTACAGCGGAGGAAAAATTGTTCTATGTAATAATTGTAATGCTTTGAACAACTTGCTCGCACCGGTTTGGCCACTGACTGTCGGATTCACTCTTTAGATCATCAGGGGGTGCTAATTTAAAATTTGAATCATGGAATGAGTCCTTGCAAAGTTGATCATTGCAACCAATCAAAAGCTGGAGATAAAATTGTCGGTGTATTCAACAAAGTAACCGTTGACGTGTAAAGTTCCTCAGATATCGAAAATAAAATGGTTATTCAGTATAAATCAATCACTCAGCTGTTAGGCTGAATTGCATGATTTTCATAAACTTTGTGGAAGACACGTTAGAATTAACGATAAAGAAACACGCATTAAATGACACGGAAAGTACAAATTGGTTTTTAAAAAGACTACAACAATCAGATTGCAATATGATTGAAAAAAATGAAATAAAAGAACATGGATATAAAATGCTACACTTGAATGTATAAAAAATGTTGATGTGAAGTTTGGAAAATAATCTTTATTTCTTGATTGGAATTTAAGAACACCGGGATTCATCTTACTTACGAATTCGTATTTTAAAAGGTTGCTATATATACTTTTAGGCATTTTTCGCTATAACTTTCATCCAGCATAGGAGTGGTTTCCCATACAATGTTGACTTCTAATTGTTCTAATTAATCATCAAATAAAATTGGAATTATAATTACGAACTGGGTTTCGTCTTCTGTGCCACTTTCATGGTCTTATTTTGCTTCAAATGCGATTTAAACCTCTATGGTTCCTGTTTCCATATGTGTGAATACCTTTATTTTCCCCCAGTGGGAGTAAATTAGATTACCGCAATCCGTTCAAGCTTGACCAGTATGCCAATTCAATGCGACAGAGGGCGCTCTTGCCGTGTCTCACTCTTGTCAGACTGTGAACAGATCAGTAGGAAATGTTTAGGCAAATGGCCAACTAATAGGCATTAAGTGAGACCAGTCACACAAAAAACTATTCTGGAACTCGGCAATTATTATTTCTTTAATTATAGAAAACTCCGGCCGCAGCGTCTACATTTCATCACTTCATGATCCAATTATTAGTAAACATCAAATTTGGCAACAGATTATGTACTGTGTTCATTTTAGGTGTTTCGCAGAGGGGATAGCATTGCTGTGGATAGTGGCTTCATGTTATACAGTGTTTGCATTACATGTAAAGGTACATATTGATTGGGAGGCATTTTATACACAGAAAGCCATTTTGGGATCCTCTTATCCAGGAAACCGCCAATCAGGAGCCTTAAAAATTGAACAATGGCGAAGATAGCTTGGAGGGCCAACCATCCAATTAGAGATTTTTTTCTTGGATACTTGACAAGGCTAGGCCAGAAGCCAAGGAGAAGTTGAATTGGTTCTTTTCTCTTTGAGGTTGAAAGTTTGGGGCGCTGGAAGGAAAGGTTGTTGTACATGTGTTGTCACTTTTTTCTCAGCCTATGAAGGAACAGCATCTACAGTCAGATTCTTCTACAAATTTTACCCACCACTTTTTCCTTCCTCCTCCTTGAATTTTAAAGCGAATAAAAAACCCGAATGGTTTATGAACGATTTGTTATTCATGACATTATGAAACTTTAAATAATACGTAGATTAGATGAAGTTCATTGTGATTCATTATGTAATTAACTCGATGGAGTAGCTAGTGTCTAATGGTTGCTGTAACCATGTCTTCCCTTGAGTAAAAGTGCAACAGGGGAGGATAAACCATTCTTTCTTCTGTAAGTGCAATCGAAGAAAGAATAGTGTCTGTAAACTCATTTGTTGACTTTGCATATGTACATAATACAAATTATTATTATAGCTTGGTGAAGTTATAAAACGTTCAGGCATTGTCCTAAGATATTGTCGCTTCCGTCTATCACAAGGTCATTAGTGTCACTGAGCTGTGGTACTCTAAGTAAAACGATGCTTGGAGCTGTTGGTGCTCCATCTTTGGCCTTGGTGGAAGCCTAAACAGTGAATAATGATAAACATGGCATTCCAGGTCAAATGGTGCTTGGAACTATGGGCACATTGAGCTTTGTGGGTGCCCAAAAAAAGATATTGATAATGTGTCGAATGCAGGATGAGTCGGCTGCCCAGATTTCGGTACCCGACACATTATATAGGCCTTCAGGAATAAAATCCTTGTGGCTGAGGCGTGCACACACCAGTAATTCTGTCTTTGTGTGTAGTTTCGTCTGCTTATAAACAGGTGGTGCTATATTAATTTAAGCAGAAGCATGACGTAATATTAAGTTTTACTTTGAAAAGTGAGTGAAGCTATCCTTACTTTAAACTGTTCAAGACAATTATTAGCTTTTAGAAGAAATAAAAATTTTGAAAGATCAGGTGTAATTTCATAGAGTTTCAAGCAATGTGAAATTGAACTTCTTGGGGATACTGCAAAACCATTTATAAAAGCTGTTAAGAATATGTATGTATTTAGTTTCAAAAGAGACATGGTAAACATGAAATATTCAGAAAACATAGGATGAAACTGTGGATTTTACAGTTTATTTGAATTTTGTTGTTATTTTGTGTTTCATTGTCTTTTGAATATCAAGTTTTGATGTTCTGTATACATGCACTGTGTTACTCAGAAATGAGCTGTTGCTGCGAACGCAACATAGTGTAGCGCCCCCCTTAGACCGTCAAGTCACGGTTTCCCCATGACTGAAGAATATTGCCATGTTTGGCCGATACGAGTCGCTGTGATTTGGTCAACTGGGCGTGCTTGGGAAATGACAACAGTTTTGCTCGTTTTAGTTTGATATCAGCAGTTGAAGTTCACAATGACGATCGATTCACGGGTTGAGGCGAGAGAGTTTAATACCACAGGTTGGGTCTTGATGCTGCTGAATTTCTGTGTTAACATGTTGTGGGGATGCACTTTTAAAAGCATAGGTGTGCTTCTGCCAGTTCTTACTGATCAGTTCAGCGCCGACACGTGGATAATTGGCACAGTGGCATCACTTACATCTGTTGCTGCGGACGTATCAGGTGAGCATTGAACATACGAAGAAGCCATTGGTTTTACTTGCATGCCTTATCGGTACATCGTTTCTTTTGCGGAAAGGAATGTAGCATTCGGACGACTGATGGTGGAAAGATAATTAACTATAAGTGCCGTAGGCATCTGGTACTAATTTAAAGTACAATTTTCTTAGCGTCCGATGCAAATTTTTCTTATTTTTCCAAGTTAAAACTGAACGCACTTTACTAACTGAAAAGACATTTGCTACGGATTTTCCGAACATTAATTTGGGTTCAAAGAGCAGTGAACGGATGTGTGAATGAAATAATGCAAGCCTAATAGTCTTAACCCCGTCTTGACAAGGTATTACTCGGGCAGTGATTTTAGATTGTAAGAGGTCAAAATATGCGGAGTTTAATTTATCCCATTATTTATTGTAAAGATTGTTTTGTTTTAAATTTAAGGTCTACTTGCCGCACCTCTGGAGAATAAGTTTGCTACCCGCTGGGTGCTAACCATGAGTGCACTAATGGTTAGTTTGGGTTGGTTTGTGGTGTCCTTTGCAACAAGTGTCGTGCACATCGCTGGATCCTTGATTGTTTTTGTTGGTAAGTTGTTTACTGAAGCTTAAGCCTAGTTTATACGCAATTTTGGCCACGATAAACCCGATTAACCGTGGATTTACATCTTAATTTACAATTTTCTGTCTTTTTGAGATGTTGGTACCACCTCTTGAAACCAAACTAATATTCCAGTTTGATGTAGTTTGTTTATTCATAGTAAGTAGTAAGAAAATGGGCAAAATGTGTGGTGCTAAGTGAGAGAGAGGTCGTTGTACACCTGTCTTGCCAAAATGCGTGTTTGTATAGGCCTACTTTGGCGACTCAACGCAAACAGTCGGCAAAGTTGAACCCGGTTCAACATTGCCGATCCCTCTGGAGTTGCTTTGCCTATGTCTGGGTTATTGGCGACCAGGCATAATATTAAGCCTGGCTTACATATAGTCGTTTGTAACGCACACAGTCCGCAAGACGTAAAAACGCAGACACGTACAGAAGAGACGGTGCATAGTGTCATTCCACCCAAAAATTGAAACAAAGTGGAGTCCAAATCTCTTTTTTGCAGAAAATACCCTTTCAGATTGACTGTACTGCCTCTTGATGCCAAACCTGTACTAATGTTTCATGCATTTCGATAGTTTAGTTTAGTTGACTATAAGGGTGTGATAAGGGTGTATAATATTTAAGCGTCAAGGAGAAAATTGGCAAAACTGGAGGAACTAAGGGAGAGAGACATCATTGCACGCCGGTCATGCCAGCATATATGTTTGTAGGAGATGCCACGGCTATACTCGACGCATTCGGCAAAGTTCAACCTACCTTAACTTTACCAATCATTCGCAGGCTGGTTTGCGTTTGTCCGTGTTGTCGGCAACACCGCCTTTTAGCATGTTTCTAAATGTCCCCGTTTCAGTTTGCGCCTTGATTGCGTTGATCTCTACGTTTCTTATGTCAATATGGAAACCGCGCTTAAGTCACGATAAAGTGTTTCTATATACGATTGTGTATCGTCAGAGACTTATCGACGACGATCTGTACGTGTCTTTACGTCGATGTGGAAACTGGCATGTCAGGGTAAATGAAAACCCTTTCGTTGCTTTATTAACCAGCCTTTTGTTTCTGATATAGCGCTGATTTACTTTCTTCAGTCCCACACTTTCTGTCTGTAACTCCAACTGAATTGCGCGTCGTGGAATTCTCGGGTTAGGCCAAATTTGCGCAGCTTGCACTGAAGTACTTATTAATCAGTATAGCCTTGATGACTGGGATAGGTGCTGGGTGGGGTGTGTTTTGTATGACTGCATGGTTTCAGCACCCGTTGCTTTGTGTTATGGTAAACTGCATCCACCGGGATATTTGATGCATAACTGAACCCATTGGCTTGTGAAATTGAATTTTTTTGCCTCTTTCTGTTCAGATACTGTTTCGTTATCCCCGAATCTAGCATATATATTCAATGTAATCTGGTAAATGGAGTGGCGTCAGACTCTTTGGAATTACAAACCTCAGTTTCAGTCGTTTTTTTAAAAGTGACTTAAGACATTTAAATATAATTTATAATTAGAAATTATTAAATGTGACATTGGAATTTATTTGTAATGACATTTTTGCTGTTATTTTTACTGTAAGGTTCTATCAGTAAAAAGGCAAACGGTAGTTGCAATCAATTTGTTTCAACACGAACCTTGGAAATGCACTTTTATGTCTCAGTCTACTTTATTTTCAACTTTAATTTCACTATTTCAAAGTATTTTTACCGTCTTTTTGTTTTTATGCTGACGCATATTTCCATATTCATGAGCAAAACTGTGATGTCTTCCCAGGAAAGAATCCGCAATCCTCAGTCCTGCATTTTTGTAGATTTTACTGGACTAAATTTTCTCTTTATTGCTGATTCCTTGTTGTCTTTGTATGCAAACATCCATCCTTTTCTCAGAAATGTTTTCAGTAAATAAATTCTAGGCCTATAAGAGAGAAGTCTGTGCACTGGACTCTGTCTTCCCTGGTTTACAGAACAGAAACCGTGCACTCGGTTGTCTCGGAGAGTACCGTTAGTTTTACAGTTTAAAAAGTGTAATTTTCAATGTATTTTAATCAAATAAGAATGTAAAAGAGTTTTTAAACAAAAAGAGTACAAAGTTACAGCTACACCATGTTTAAGAAAAATTCACTGCACACCTTAACATCACTTGCAATTCAAAATGTCCGACACACAATGTATTTGAAAACTAATCGCTAAATGCTGAACTGTTAATGTTATTTTGGCTGATTACGGTTTTGTCCATTCTCATTGTCTTTTTGTAATTTTTGCTTTCCATACCTCGTTCTCAGGGTTTTTGCCTTAGGAAGCAATACTTATACGTGTTCGATTCAAGTGCAGAGCACAACATCAAAACTGAAAAGTCTCGTTATTTTTTTTTACAGGAGCGGGAATGGGTATCTTAAACGTTTTGAGTAAAGCTTTTCTGGCGAGGCATTTCCGTAAGAACACCACGCTAGCCTACGGTCTGAGCAACACAGGAAATGCAGTGGCCCTTCTTGTTTTTGCACCGATGACTCAGCTGTTTCTTGATACCTACGGCTGGAGAGGAGCAACGTTGCTGGTCGCAGGAGTTTGCGCCAACTCCATACCCTGTGCTGCTCTTGTCCGAGTGACCAAAAAATCGTCCTATCAGCCCCTGTCATGTTCAAATGAAGACGAGACAGCCTCGCTCGAGACGAAGAGCTGCCACTCGTACATCGGAACTTTGTGTGCAGGCCTCTGGAAGGTTGCAGGTTTTGGAATAGTCTTTGAATTAAATTTTATCATACTGTACCTATGCCGCTTTTCAATGAATATTGCCTACAACAGCTGGATGGTGTATTTTGTACCACATCTTCAGGCCAAGGGCTTCTCACCACAAGTAGCTGCTGCTCTGTGCGTTCCACCGGCCATTGCGTACTTTATTGGGACAAGTGTCTGGGCGCCATTTATAGACCGAGGTCTCGTCAGGTGCTCCTCGGGTATTGTCATTAGTAGCCTTGTTTTAGCTGCGTCCTTTATAGTGGATCCGTGGGTGGACGGCGACGTGGGTACGGCCGTCAACAACGTCCTCTTCGGGTTGTCCATTTCGGCCTTGTACACCCTCGGTGATATCTTGACGAAGGAACGTTTCGGAATGGATCGACTAACGTCTGTGTTTGCGTGGGTCAGAGCCTTCGGATTTTTGCCTCGGCTTCTGGGTGGCTTTTTCCCAGGTAAATAATACAGAATGGACAAAATGAATTCGGGCATCTTTTCACGTGCTTAGGTAGCACAAAAAAGTTTGGAACAAGAAAAGTGAGTTTCTACCAAAAATGTTATTTACATGAAAAGGGAGGATTCAGTCATTTTTTAGTGTTGTCAGTATAATAGCTGACCAGAATAGGTTGAGGTCTTACGCAATCAACATCATAGTGGCACTGTTGCCGAGGTCTTACAAATCCAATTTGTGTCATTTCCAGTCAGGTCCCAATCTATTCAAAGAAGCGCGGTGACAAAGGCATTCCAAGATCGTGTTATCCTGCAGTTACTTAGGCTATGACTAGACTTGTGGCTTGACTTGTTATCTTGCTTGTTATCAGAACTTGACGGACTTTAACAGCCATATTCTCTTGTTCATTCTTGTTTCTGTGATACAGGCTGGATGTATGATACAACAGGGACTTATGACGTAGCGTACGTCGTCATTGGCTCCTCGTCAATTCTCACCCTTATTCCGCTTGTCGTCCAACAACTCTGGAAAAGCCACCTGGAAAAAAGGTCACAGTCTGCATAGTTAATGGTGTAGTCCACCATTGATGTTTCCTGACGATTTGATAATTACAATGTTCAGTTAATCTGGTTCCTTGGTCGTATATAATGGAATACTTGAGGATATTCCCACATATATCACAGCCAATAATTTGAACCCGAAAGATACATAAATTAAAAAACCCTGAACATATGATATGAATTTGCGCTGTGGTATGACCTCCGAATTTAAAGAAACTATGGTTACTGTAGTAACTAGATGTAAGTTCGGTCCTTATGTTGAAAATTATATGCGGACCATTGTATTAATTTGGGATCCGACGCGTGACAAATTTTCTGTTTCAGTCACACTTGACCTGTGCAATTTGACAAGAGATATCAATGAAATTGATTTCAAACCATTTTCTATTTGTTTGGCTAGTGAGCCTAATTATTCTCAATTAATGAAAGCGTTCTCGGGTTACAAAATCCCACGCCAGATGTCACACTGGAAGATGTGTGGACCGGAAAAAATTGGACCTAAATTTATAGAGTGACCCATAGATATAGGTCTGTAGTTCATAGGTATAGTGCACAAACATGTTGAAATGCGAACGGAGCAGTATTGGCTTTTTGTTCATAAACGTGAACATAAATCAAAGGCTTGGTGGTATTCATTCGACATGTATACGGAGATACATACACTTAGTGTGGTCAGATTGATTGACTATTTATACCCACATCAGCTCGGTAAACTTCTTTTCACTATTTTGTTATCCAACGGAACAGTGAGATTTGATGTTTCTTTTTTCTTCGGCCTACTATAATGTGACCTTTAAGCATAAAATGAGCTTAAAATCGGACTCTTGTATGAATTTGGTTGTGTAAATTTCGATGTCCGGTTTATGGAAAATAAAAGCATTCCAGCGGTACATAACATTCTGAGGTTCAGAGGCCGGCATATGAAAATATCGACTGCAAAATGTCTCAAAATTTTGGGTGGTTTATTGCATGCCACGCGTAATGACTTCGGGGTCAGTTTGACAGAGTTTAGGTCAGTTTTTGCGTAATAATAAGTATCAATTCATTAATTAAAAATCTGCTTGCAAATAATTATTTTGCCGAACCAATGACACCCATAATTTTACGGCAGACTTGAAACTCCCTCTTATGGTACCGAACAAACTCGTTCTATGGCTCAAAATCGTTCAGCATATAGAATTCTGAATCATTCTTTTACAGGCTATTTTGTAGTGGTGGTCTTACAAGAGAGAAGTGCATGCACTACCCAGCGATCTTACTGCACGGTCTGTGGTGACTGCGCTTGGCTATTTGGCCAAAATGTACTTGTCACTGATTTCCTTGACCTCTGCTGACCCGATGAGCTGCGCCGTTTCCCGTTTTATTTGCTGGAACTTGCTTGCTTGCTCGTTGCTGAGCAACCTCTTTGTCAACGCCCAATGAAGCCACATTCGAAAAATCTGTCTGATGGTGATAGTGACTGTCCGGCAGATATGACCGCCAAACCCGGGCGTAACTCTATACTTGATTGTTGATAGCATCGTAAAAAAGGTTTTCAGGATTAGGGCCGGTTCATACATGGCGCAAAAGCGAACATAAAAGCGACTTTTTTTTACGTCGGATCAAATATTCAGTCTGCGAATTCACAAAAGTTGGACACATTCAACTCGAGTGAAATTTTGCTGCAGATCTTAAGGTTGGTTCATACTGCAGGCGAATGCAAAAACGAAGCGAACTTGACGTTACCAAAGATTTGCAGCGAAATTTCGCTCGAAATTGAATATGCAAATTCGCGAATTCGCAGCGCGAATATTTGGTCTGGCCTCACAAATCTGCGTTTGTTTTTGTTGTCGAGCGAAAATGAAACTGCCTTTACATCATGCCAAATTCACTTCTCTTTGACATTTGCCTGTAGTAGCCTACGAACCGACCTTTAGGCGGAGAGACTCACTCGGGCGGTGATGAGTTTGACTGAGCTTTGGCCGAGCTACATTGCTCTTCCTTCTCTTATGAAGGAGCCTCTGGTTTTGGCGAACCTGAAGCGCTTTCGTCTTTGCTATACCTCGCCAGTTTATCTGAGAGGTACTCATTGACTTTTCATCCGTCGTCTTGTCTGCGAGACGAATCAATTCTTTTTTCTTTTGGGTGATGTGTCGGCTACGGCGGTTTCCACTGAATAAATCACTGCTGCCTCCTTTGCTTCTCTCACGTCAACCAGAGCTTTCTTTGGGTTACTCCAAAGCGCCGAGTTAAATTCGTGTTAGATCGTATTATCTATGACTTCAAATTGTATCTTTACCTCTATTTGAGTTGTTTCAATTTTTTCTGAGGCTGACAGGAGTGCCATGTCACTTTCAGTTTTTTAAGCGTCCAGTCTTCCGCCAATCACGAGCCTGGAAGTAAAAGATCATAAAGCGAGCTTCTGGAACCTCTGTTCCCCCCCCCCCATAAATAGTTTACATGAGACCGTCCCATTACGTTCTATAGTTTTTGGAAGAATGGTTTATTTGTAATTGATAGCCTCAGAAACACTCACGTCAGAATGTTATAGACAGTTTTACTTTACTCAACGCCTCATTAACACTTGATTAAAATGCCCCCTATTCTTCCCGAGATGTGAAACCAGTATATAGGATTATCATATGACAGGCAGACAAGTTACTGTGAGTTATGGTAAATGGAGGCGCAGTGTAGTGTACATGCCCAATAAGCTATTTGCGAGTTAAATTTGAATAAAATCTGGTGCACTGAGATATCTGACTGTACATAAACATAACAATTTGAATTCCCCAGACTGAAGACACTGTTGCTATACCTCGTACATATGCAGCAAGGTATGAGACGGAGAGAATTCCCCCCCCCCGCTTTGTGTTGGTCACTGTCTCGCAGGAATCTGGGGAATTCCTTTCAGACATCTTGGGGGATGTGTTAAGTAACAATAGTCTGGAATGTGCATAGGGATTGGACATGTTGGGGGGTACCCCTCGGTCTCATTTCTTGCTGGGTATAACCTCGTGATTCGGGGCAACCGTATGCAGAGCGACTACCATCTCTGAAATGGACTGATTCCTTTGTGCCCTTCTTATCCATTTAGAACAGTGTATTGTTGCAAGGCGTCTCCTCTGTGACTAAGCAAAAGCTTGCCCGAATCACGAGGTATAGCAATAGTGGTTTTAGTAAGGCGAATTCAAGTTATGCTCACGTGAATTTAAAGAACTCCGTGCACCAGATTTGGGTCAAAGTTAGCTCGCAAAAGGCTTATTCAGGTCAATGTACATATACACACATATTGACTATTATACGTACGTTGGACAATTGCCTACACATATCAGAAAATCATATCAGCATGGTACATTTATATTGGACATCACACATATAAATTTGGCATTACAAAAATATGCAAAATATATAAAACTTGTGAACTTCGCACGTATACATGTATATTTATGAAACTTTTTAGGAGGGCCTACGCGTGTTGCTTGTCGTGACAACCATAAATGCCCCACTGCACACAGACCTTGAACGTTTTTCTGCTCTCTTCATGCGTTACGTCTCATCTGCATTTTAAAGAGGACTCTTTGCAGAATGGCCCTTGCTTCTCCGTAGTTATTAAAATATAACTTAGCCCAGTCGGTATGCGAACTGAATACCAGGGGGTGTTTGGGAAATGGCACAACTTTATTCGTTCTGTTGAGATCAACGGTAGTTGTTAAGTTAGACGTCACGCGCGATGACGATCGATTCACAGGTTGAAGAGAGAGAGTTTGACACCACTGGTTGGGTCTTGATACTGCTTAACTTCTGCGTCAACATGTTATGGGGATGCACATTTAAGACCATAGGTGTGCTTCTACCAGTTCTTACTGACCAGATCAGCACCAACACGTGGATAATTGGCACAGTGGCATCATTTGTATCCATTGCAGCAGACGTAACAGGTGAATGTTGGTTTTTACTGCATGCCTTATTATCAGTACACCGTCACCCGGTGGACTCCCTTACCATACTACGTTACGGGGAAAATCCAGGATATGAAGGGTGTTAAAGGCGACAAATTAGTCTACACCACTTGACCCAAAAACATGGAACTGGGTGTTTTAATACCGGCCGTCAGGTTAGCCGGGTACCAGATACTGTCTCTTGCACTGTGCAACTTAAGAATGGGTGACTTACGTGAAAAACTGCAACGCTGTCTCTGAGTGTACCTACCTGTTTTCCTTGGTTTCACAGTCTGTAGTTATTTCTTGAATTCCCTAACCCGCGGTGGGATAGATAGGGACATAAAGAACAGTAGACGTAAAATTTATTTTCTTCAACAAGATAACACAAAACACATTTGTGCAAACGTTTTGGTCGTATTATTGTGGGAGGGGCGCTATCTGGTGGGGGTTGCGCATGAACAGGCACACCAGAACACCCTGGGCTCGGATCTCTGCTGGTGTTATCGCTTTTCAAATTTCAGCAGTAGACAGGCCAACAGCGGAGGCGACGGAAAAGATGTTGAATTTAAAGAAAAAGAAACACAACTTAAGTTCATTGTTCTTTCTAGGTGAATGGCAGGAATTATGCATGTATAATCTGAATGTATTGAAATAGCACAGTTTGACCCTAAAATGTTGAAATTGGAAATGTCTGGAAAAACACTTTATCTATTCATCCTTCCAAAATGATTAATTGCCAAGAAAATTAAATTCACACTGTGGACTTCCTCCTGAAGGAAATAACAAAGAGTTCACCCTATTGTCATTATCCAATCCTAAAATTACATGTACATTGGAATAAAGACTATAGATCAATATCCCACAAGTACTAGGAAGATTACTCTCTAATTACTGTGTACCTTAGAGATAGAATTTAATATAATTGAAGTCCATTCATTCCAAACAATTTCAAAATTAAAGAAATAATCATCTCCAATACGCAAGGGATTTACATGTCCCTTAATCCTCAAGTACATGTGCCCGTCTTATTAATTTATATGTCACAATTTGCCCAACATGTGCCTGTACATGTACATGAAAGTAATGTACACTTATGCAAAACCAGTAACATCCTTCAATTCAATGATCTAAACTACACATAATTACTCCACCATAGATCCTACTCATAGTTTTGGTCTCGGCACCACGGACGTCGATACATATATATTTATATATATACATGTATACGCAAACCAGACTTGTCTGAGCACACTGCTATAAGGCCGCCATTATTTTACCGCCCAAGGGTAACAAAAGCATTTGCCCAATTTACCCATAAAATGATGTATTTATACTCTTCCCATGATGTCCAACAATTTCTCCACTCCCCTGGAAACCCATTCGATGATTTACATGAAATTTACAATCCCAAGAAGAGTGAAATTGACCTAATTAAATTTCAGTTGTAGACTGGCCAACAACGGAGGCGACGGCAAACATGAGGAATGCCCCTGCCACCGCATGATGTCCCAAGGGCAGTGCTTGATCTCGCAGCGATGGAGAACCTTTCGCTGATCACAGGAATTCTGGACAATGTAAACGAGCTGGCCCTCAAACGGACACTCCACAATCATGTATGGTTCTGGTTCCCAAAAGTCCTGTATTTTTGAGCGCCCTAGGTGTGAGCGATCTCTCACTAAGACATACTCCCCAGTGGTAATTGGCTTCTCATACATGGTCTGGTTATGGAACATTTGTCGATCCGCTGCCCTCGTCTTGGTTGTTTACTGCAATCTGTCTGGCCCTCTCCAACCCTTCCTTGTGTTTCTTGACATAGACATCTTGAGTTGTCCCACTAACCGGATTGTGGTCAACATTTAAGAGCAAATGCTGAGGCAACCTCGCCGTTCTTCCGAACATCAAGAACGATGGTTCGTAGCCTGTTGATGTATGTCTGCTGTTATTATACGCCATTACCAGGAATGGGAGCTGCTCCGTCCACCTTACTTTCTTTTGTGAAGGCAAGGTAACGAGGAGGTTATGGAGGGTGCGATTGAATCGTTCACACATCCCATTCCCTTGGGGATGATAAGAGGTCGTTTGTGAGCGTCCAATTCCATATAGTTGGCAGAGTTCAGTGATGACTTGTGACTCAAAACACCGTCCATTGTCGGAGTGCAACCTCAAAGGGGCCTCAAATGGTGTTATCACATACTTTATCAGCGCCTTTGCAACGGTGTGGGCCTTCTGGTTCTTGGTCGGCACAGCCCAAACGAACCTGGTAAATGTGTCCGTGAACACAAGGACATTCTCGTAGCCGTCTGAGGAAGTTTCCAACACGGTAAAGTCCATTGCCATTACTTCTAAAGGCGCGGTAGCTCTGAGGGTTCCCAGTGGTGGATGGGCTTGTCTGATTGGTTTCTTCCTAACTACACATCTCTCGCACTGTTGGCACCAAGTGTGGACCGAAACCTCCATTCGTAACCAAAAGAACAATGGTTGGACTAGTTGCAGTGTTCTCTTTGCCCCAAAATGCCCACAGTCATCATGAAAGGATATCAGCACTGTGTCGACCAAGGCAGCCGGGGTGACAAGCCTATCTCCTGGTCTTCCCGCAAAAATTCTCCACGGCGGAATAGGACACCTTGCTTAAAATGTAGCTGATCCCAGTGCTTCAGCAGTAACGCCACATCCTTTGGGTCTTCGGCTCTCTCTACATACAAGTAGAATACGCCTGAGTATGACATCTTCTTCCTGTAGTCTCCTATGATCCTCCGGATTGTATCCAGGAAGACACTTCCTTCCTTCTTCACTGGTAACTCGAATTTGGTGAACTAAGTTTTTGGGTATCTCTGTACCAGACTCTGTGCAACCACCCACGCAGGCTTGCATGGCACATGAGGACACCTATGTGATCTGGTCATCTGGAACTTCGGACGAACTTCTCAGTTTCAATCTTGATAAGACGTCAGGGGCTTTATTCTTCTTGCCTGGTTTGAAATCTAGCTGAAAGTCAAACGCCGCCAGTTGTTGCACCCATCTCATCTCAGTGCAGCCAAGATTTGCGGAGTTCAAAAACTTCAAGGGGGATGATCAGTGTTTACGGTACTTTTGTTTCCCATGAGGTAGTCTCGGAAAACTTGGCATACTGCCCATCGTATAGCCAGCAGTTTCAACTTGAAGGCGGAGTAATTCTTGTAATTTCGTTCTGTTGGTCAGAGTGACCTGGAGGCGTAAGCAATGACTTGCTTAGACCCGTCATCCTGTTGTTGAAAGAGTATGGCTCCCAGACCCAGAGAGCTGGCATCTATCTCCACAATGAATGGACGACTAAAATCAGCAAAAGCGAGAACTGGTGCATGTAGGAGTGACGACTTCAGAGACTGGAATGCCTTCAGTGCTTCGCCATCAAGGTTAAGTTTCTTGCATCCAGTCCATTTCTTCTCTTTGGTACTCCAAACTGGAGTAATCACAGATGAACTTGCAAAAATACCCGGTGAACCCCAGAAAGCTCCTGAGCTCAGTCAAAGTTGTCGGTACTGGCCAGTCCTGGATGACAGCCACCTTGTCAGGGTCAGCCCTGATGCCTTCACCTGCCACAACTAAATGCCCCAGATAATTAACCTCCTTTTTGAAGAAAGAACACTTCTGGGGCTTGACCTTTAACCAGTAATGGCGCAATCGGTTGAAAACCACCTGCAGACGTGCAATGTGTTCATCAAACGTGGTTGAAAACACTATGATGTTATCTAGGTAGATGAGAACGGACTCCAACACTTGGTCTCCCAGACATCTTTACATGAGGTGCTGGAATGTTGCAGGGCCGTTGCACAGGCTGAAAGGCATCCTCATGTACTCGAATAGCCCGAAGGGTGTTGTAAAGGCTGTTTTCTCAATGTCTCGGTCCTCAACAGCTACCTGATGGTATCCTGAAGCAAGGTCAAGCACACTCATGAACTTGGCTCCACCCAGCGTCTGCAGGGTCTCGTCAATCCTTGGCAGGGGGAAAGAGGTCTTCACCGTAGCTGCATTCAACCGGCGGTAGTCAATACATAGCCTTATTGATTGATCTTTCTTCCGAACGACGACGATGGGAGAGGCCCACGGGCTGGAACTTTCACGAATAATGCCAGCCTCCAGTAATTTCTATATATGGGCCCGAACTTCCTTGCACTGGGAGGGGGGAAGTGAGCGGTAGCGTTGATGGATTGGAGGGGTGTCCCCGGTGTCAATTCGATGTCGGACAGTGTCGGTGTAACCCAAGTCTCCTTCTCCCTTGGCAAATACGTCATCAAATTCGTGCAGAAGAAAGTGAAAACTGTCAAGTTGTTCTTTGGCCAGCCCTCTACCAATTTGAACATCCGGAGTGGAAGGTGGGTCTGGTGTGGGTGGCCCGCATGCCTGGGTGAGGATGTGTGAAGTCTGGGTTGCCTCAGCCTCCTCCGTCCGGATCTCCTCCATAATGTCTCCATGATAAAAGGTACCCTAACAGCTTCCTTCTGGCAATTGGAGGTCCTGGTCGGTTTCAATCATCAAAACCACTGCCAACTTTCCTGAAGAAACTGTCACCAGTCCCCTCACTGCTTGCACACCCCGTGGAGTATTGGTGCATTGCAGGGGTTCAAGAACTGCTTCATAGTCAACATTTCCTGGGGCTCTCCGTGCTGAGGCCTCAACAACCACCGCTTGCCTGGCCGGTACTATTAGTGGGGCTCCGTTCTTCAAGTGTACCTTTCCAATTGTAGACTGGATGTTATCGAAAGCTTTGCGCTTCGCAACTGTCTGCAGCATCTTTTGCCAAATCGGTCCAACACCACCACTGACCATGACTGCTTATCAGTCGAGACCAACAGTCCCCTAGAATGTTCATCCCCACAATGCCTGGCACATTTGACGGGCTCGAGTTTGGCCTGACCCCTTGTATGACTAGTTCGAGTCTGAAGTCAACAGTCCTTTCCACCAATTCCACACTTGTCTTGAAACAGACTACATAGGGGATGTTGGTGCCATTTGCCGAGACGAGCTTGAACTTATCAGGAATACTTTCCAGTTGCACACAATCTAGTGCCAGTGTTCCGTCAAAGTAGTCCTTGGTGATTGTGGTGACCATGGATCCGGTGTCCAATAGGCAAGGACCAGTTTGATTTTCAAACCTGACATTGACTGTATAACATTCTGATGCAGCACGGGCTTGAAATGCAGACAGGTCATGAGTTGAGCCAGCTCTACAATTCCCCACTGTTTGGCTCTCAACAGTAGGATGCATTAGTTTCCCGAAGTCTCCTCAGCTCGAGGTGGTGCAGTGGGTGTGGAATTGTGGTGATGTCGAGCAGAGTTGAGACAAGTTCTTGCAAAATATCCAGGTTGGCCACAACTAAAACACCTTGCAGGGGACTGAGTTGGTGCAGAAATTGGAGGGTCGAAAACCCTGGGCTGTGGGAAGGTGGAGCAGTTGGTCTAGTGTTCTCAAAATCTGGATGTCATGACACTAGTCGGTGCGGGAGAACCTTGGGGGTTCATCGGTGGAGGCAGCCTCCCAGCGAATGAAATCTTCTAAGAAGGGGATTTTACAGACACCATGATCTCTTGCATTGTTTCTCCAGTCGCTCGATGGCATCAGGTTTCCCCTCAGCTACTTTGAGGGGTTGTAGTCTGTGTCCGGGCCATTTCCCGTTCCTCCAGCTTTATGGCCCAGTCCTTGACTTTTCCAAAGGAGACAGATGGATTAGGAGCAACAAAATCTCGACAGGAGTGGCTCAGTCCCTCCTGTTCGATGCCATCCACAAACTGCTCCCGTATGATGACGTCTGGGTTCTTGTCCAGAGTCTCGCTTCACCAGTCGGTAGAAGAGCCGCTGTAGTTCCACGCTAAACTGACAAAGGGACTCACCCCGTTGCTGGCATCGTTCCAGGCATTTCTGCTGCAGTTCTCCCCTCATCAAGATCTCACTATAGGAGATTGCCAAGTATTCCAAAGCCTCTTTAGCTGTTTTCCCAGATGACAGCAATGACCAGACTTCAACCTTTGGGCCACCTCGAAGTGCACCCAGCAAAAACTGCCCACGCTGGTCCTCTGGAATGTGGTATCTCTCATAAGCATGGTTCATTGCTGCAACAAAGTCAACAATTTGCACAGATTTTACGTCGTCCCTCCCTTCGAATATCGGAAGCTTGCAGTTAGGGGCTATCACAACTTGGGGCGGTCTGGTCACAAGCACACGGAGGAGGTCCTCTGACACAGACTTAGTATGGGACTGTTCTGTCTTGGCCACAACTGAGGTAATCAATGGTGCATACTCTCCTTCCACTTCCCATCCCCCTCTGGAGGGAGAATGGCTCCATTCAAAATTGGCAGGATCAGTTCATTGTCCTTATCAGCTCTGTGAATCAGGCTGGTAGCATTCACGTAGCATCGCTTCAGGCTTTGAAGGGGCAAGCGGCCTTCCACCAGGGAGAACTTCCTGACTTTCTCCTCGATAGGCAATCGTACCAGCACATAGGTTGCCATTTTGATGACTCTGATGTTACTGAGGACTCCTTGAACCTCCGCTACTGGCTGGCTGGAAGCAGAGATCCCACTTCTGGCACTTGTGTGGGGGGCGCTATCTGGTGGGGGGTGCGCATGAACAGGCACACCAGAACACGCTGGGCTCGGATCTCTGCTGGTGTTATTGCGATTTAAATTTCAGCAGTAGACAGGCCAACAGCGGAGATGACGGCAAACATGAGGAATTGAAAGAATAAGACACAACTTAAGTTAATCGTTCTTTCTAGGTGAATGGCAGGAATTATGCATGTATAATCTGAATGTATTGAAATAGCACAGTTTGACCCTAAAATGATGGAATTGGAAATGTCTGGAAAAACACTTTATCTATTCATCCTTCCAAATTGCTTAATTGCCAAGAAAATTAAACTCACACTGTGGATTTCCTCCTAAAGGAAATAACAAAGAGTTCGCCCTATTGTCATAATCCAATCCTAAAATTACATGTACATTGGAATACAGACTATAAATCAAAATCCCTCAAGTACTGGGAAGATTACTATCTAATTACTGTGTACCTTAGAGACAGAATCTAATATAATTGAAGTCCATTCAATCCAAACAATTTCAAAATTAAAGCAATAATCATCTCCAATAAGCAAGGGATTTACATGCCACTTAATCCTCAAGTACATGTGCCCATCTTATTAATTTACATGTCACAATTTGCCCAACACGTGCCTGTACATGTACATGCAAGTAATGTACATGTACACTTATGCGAAACCAGTAGCTTCCTTCAATTAAATGATCTAAACTACATAACCCCACATAATTACTCCACCATAGATCCTACTCATAGTTTGGGTCTCGGCACTACGGACGTCGATACATATATATTTATGTATACATGTATATGCAAACCAGACTTGTCTGAGCACACTGCTATAAGGCCGCCATTATTTTACCGCCCAAAGATAACAAAAGCATTTGCCCAATTTACCCAAAAAATAATGTATTTATACTCTTCCCATGATGTCCAACAATTTCTCCACTCCCCTGGAAACCCATTCAATGATTTACATGAAATTTACAAGCCCAAGAAGAGTGAAATTTACCTAATTAAATTTCAGCAGTAGACAGGCCAACAGCGGAGGCGACGGCAAACATGAGGAATGCCCCTGCCACCGCATGATGGTGCTGTTGCTACACACCAGCATACTCACAATTATATGTACAATATGCATGACATCCCTCACATTATACAGAAGGCTCAAAGCCTAGAGTTCAGTCGCAATGTAATGAAGACTAGCGTCCAACCTGGGTTAGGTACACTGTATTTCTCTGCAGAAACGAATGTAGTATTCTGATGAGTGTTGGTGCAGTTAACTAAGCGCCGCAACCATTCAATAGTATTTTTCAACACAACTTTTGTAGTTGCAATTTTTGATCTTTGGCAAGTTTCTTGCAATTTTGTTTAGCATTGAGCGTATTCTACACATGATTATCAGAGGATTTGCTGAACATAAATTTTGACTAGCAGTGAATGGTCGCTCAAACAAAAAATGTAGGCCAAATATAAAGTTATCGATGTCATTTTAGAATGTAAGAGGCAAAAAGCTGAAGCTTAAAATTTTTTCAGACTACTCTATTTATTTTGTTTTACATTTAAGGTCTGCTCGCCTCACCTCTGGAGAATAAATTCCCTACCCGCCACGTGATAACCATCAGTGCACTTATGGTCAGTTTGGGTTGGTTTGTAGTGTCCTGGGCAACAAGTGTCGTACACATCGCTGGATCCTTGATTGTCGCTGTTGGTAAGCAGTTTACTGTAGCTAAAGAAGGAGCTGTTGATACTTTGACTTAGCATATGTGCAGAAGTTCACAGCTTGTGAACACAGACATATAGACACCATCAGTGGTCTGCATACAAACTGTCTTCATTAGCTTATTACAAAGCTAAATGCTGTTGGTTTCATGTATACAAGTATTAGAAGTTAGATGAGCTTGAAGCTTTCCTAGGTGATGGTGGCAAGTGAGGTAAGGAGGTTTGCGGTGGCACCATGCAAGGATATCTCCTCTAAAAAGAACCAGAGGTTACTCAACGTTTTGGACAGTATGCTCTGTCCGTCATGAGGAGACTTCAGAGGTTCCAATGATGAAGTAGTTTATATGATGTCTGGAGGTGATGAGGTATGGAGAGGATGCTAACTCAGAATCCAGAACCGGGAATATAGGAGATCCCGAAGGTTCTAGCTGTTTCAGTCCAGGCCTGCTCCTCACCTGTATCAACTCATCTAGCTTCCACTGGCGGGAATAAATTCTGTGAACAAACGGCCGGAACCTTCACTGAATACCCTATCCCCAGTTCTGGCCTAAATATTCGTGGAAGAATTTGAACAGAATCACAGACCATCGCCACAGCAGATCACAGACCCAAGATTTGGCTCTGCTATGCGGACAACACCTTCATCGTCTGGCAGCATGGGCAGGATAGCCTCCAACTCTTCCCAAGACACCTCAACGGGCTTGACATCACCATCTAGTTCACCATGGAACAAGGAAAGGATGGCAACATCTCATTTCTTCACGTCGAGGTATCCGCGAAGGAGGATGGCAGTCTTACCTGCGGAGTCTAACAGAAACCCACCCATACCGATATGTACCTCCACAGCGCTTCCTTCCATCAACCCAAGATCAAGTCCTCTGTAACTGGGCCCTTGTACATTGTGACAAGGAACATCTCACCCCATCACATCACCACAGCACTGCATAAGACGTAAGATGCACTCCCGACCGAAGGGTCACCTGTACCAAAAAAAAAATTAGTTAGGACCTCTATAGTTCCACTACCCTCTCCTATAGGCAGTATTTCCCATCACATCTAGTGCATCCTCCACAAGCATGGTCTCGAATGTACCGGTACCACAGCGCCCCTGATGATGCAGAACCTGCTGACCTCCCACAAGGACCGGCCCAATCCACAGCACAAGCCAGGAGTGTACAAGATCCCTTACCAATGTGGCAAAGTGTACACTGGTCAGATTGGCAGGGACCTCCCTACCAGACTCAGTGAATACAGAGCCCATGGCAGGAATGGAGAATTCGATAAGTCTGCCATCATAAAACACTCCCACACTGAAAACCACCAGATCAACTGAAGCCAAGCCAAACTCATGACCAGCACTGAACATTGGTACCCTCATCGCATCAGAGAAGTCATCGAAATCATCAAACACTGCACGGTACCGCAAGACATCAGACGGTTTCAATGTCAGCAACATCTGGTGTCCCATCCTCACACCCTAGTCCAGTGGGTCTCTTATACCCCAGGACAAGTCCCCAGACTATTGGTCTCCTAGGCCTTTACCCTTTGCAACCTTCCTCCATCCTCCCATCCTTCAGACAGACACACCTCACTAGTTTGCTAACATCCCTTGTTTTGCTGGAGCGTCTTTGATTGGATCCTGAGTAATCATCCTTTCCACACCTCACCGCCTTCACACATTTTATGTCATGGAAAGAGCTGGTCTGGAGTGAAATCAGTGCGGTCTTTGACTGCCGAAACAGCCGAAACGGCTGGAACCTCCATGGGATCTCCTATATCCCTGGGTCTGGATCCTGAGTTAGCATCCTCTCCACACCTTCAGACATCAAATGATACATCAATGGAACCTCTGCAATCTCCTGACGACGGACAGAGCATACTGTCCGAAACGAGTATCCTTTAGCTCTTTTGAGAACCACACTTTACTCAAAAGAGATGTCATCACATGGTGCTACCGCAAATGTCTTTATACCAATTGGAAGTTAGTAAATTGGTATTAAAGCTGCGGTAACAAACTGGATTCAATGTAACAAATGATATTGGTATGGCTGTACATAAAAACAAGCGAGTTTGGCTAGTGGCTTAATGCAGAACCATTTTTCTTCACTGTCATGAAGACCAGTATACTTACTTTAAAATCTTAAACATACACAGCATAGTAACTTGCAAACAATATGCACAATAGGATGTTTCTATGCAATAAGTTTCATATTCTTGCATGTGACTAACATAATAAATGAAGGCTTGTATGTCCAGTCCTTTGATCTAATTTCAAGCAGCTTGTGGGTGTCAAAATCAGAAAATTGCATGTAAAACCATAATATAAACAAAAACTCGTGCATGTACATGTACGTGTATACTGTTAAACATACAAATTCACACATTTGCAATTTACCTTTTGTTGGAGTGTGACCCTTGTGCTGTGGATGCATGGTCATTGATCGATTTTATATTTGTAAAACAAATAATAAATAAAGTGACCTTTAAGTCGGATCGGAGATTTTAACAAGGAGCGACACTGTAATATGACTGGTACGGTGCTGCACCCATTGCACGTGTGCAGCCACGCCTTCCCATCTGTACACAGACACCAGAAGAACAGTGCACAAATTATCTGTCAAAGTAACTTGACTCACCTGTTATGAAACCTCCCAAATACATTCACATGTGGCATATACAACGGCTACAGAAACTCCTTAACTTGTACTTTATCAAGGACTCTCCAACTGTGCACCCTCAGGGCACTGAGCTCGGTAACATTGTTTTGGAGGTCGCAGGGAGGTGGCACAGTTTGTTTGGCCACATCGGGTGCCTCCAAGTCCCGGCTCCTGCTCATCTTGCCCTCAACACAGCTATACAATTCCATCTTGAGGCCCCGCAGCCATCCCCGTCTCACTTGCCTTAAGCAGGTTGCTGACGCTGTGCAGCTGTCTCCAAATGAGTGAAGGTCCCTTGCTCTTGACGGGGGTGTCTGGAGGTCACTGAAGAATATTGAGGCCAATATTCATTAGTTGCATAACTTTATTTGTGGTAATGGCCACCCACTAAACATGACATGTCAGTTCGGTTGGTGGATAACTTGGAGGTGATTAAATACTACAGGTATTTCCATCCCTCTAATCAGTCTAAATCAAGATAAAAAGAACAGCAGTAGAGCAAGAAATTAGTTATCTTCACCCGCTGATAAGTATACATGCACATGGTTAATGTTACGGGGCGAAAATAAATGGAACTACGTCTACATGTACATGTATTTCCGACACTCCGCCGATGGTAACCCCATCTTACAAAGTGTTGAATGGAAAATACATGCTTATATTTAGCGTCATTGATAAGGCTCAAATGGGTAAATGATTTTAAGGTTTCTTAAGTATTGTAAAATGTCATCATTACAAACAAAAAGGAACGAAACTCCCAATCCAATCCACATCCCGACATGTTTGGAAAAATGTGGCGCGTGCGCAGCTAGCAATCTGGC